TTTCTGTAATATTTTTTTAACTCTTCTTTTTTCTAAAAGTTTGTAAACATTATTTTTAATTATTGTAAAATGAATATATTTTAATTTTAATTCTTATATATATACATATATATATTATTTTCATCCTCTAAAATTTAAAATAATGAATATATTATTTTCAAAACAGATACAAACATGAGTGTTACAAATAATGTCAATATTAAGGTCAACTCATAATATTTAAAATTGGAATTTTTTTTTAAATAGGAGATTACTATGCGATTAAATCATTAGAATCTGTCCAAAAAAAATTATTTAGATAAATAATGATATCAATAATGGAAATATTGTAATTTTGTGCTGGTTGTTGTTGACCATTGTAAATTTAAGACCAAATGGATATGTAGCAACTAGCAATCCTGACTATAATTCTGTTGTAAGTCAATGTAAAAAATATAATTTGTTTTAATTTAAATTTTGAGATAAATTTTGAAGGGATTATTATATTTGGAAGTTTATAGGAGTGATTGTTTGATGATATGGAGCAAACTCTATTAAGTTGAAAAAGCTTAGCTATTTATATGGATGTATCTTTTATATTTTGGACGATGATGAAATGCAAGCATCTTAAAGAAAGTATTTTCTCAGTGTATATTGTGATGATTTAAGTGACATTTCAAATTTTCATAATATTGTTTGCAAGTAATTTGAAATTTGAATAACTTATTTTAGTAGAAAATGTTCCATTTTATATATTTGTCTGATAACTATAGACAATATACAAATTTATAACACATAATATGAATGAATTATATTATAAATTTATACAAAAATAATTTTTAAATATATAGTTAAATTATTTTTATTACTATAAATAAATTTTGACGTCACTTTTATAAGATAATGATTTCTTAAATATATTCTAAATATTACTTCGTCTATGGGCCAGTAGTTGCGCAAGTCCACTTCATCTATGGGCCAGGCCCAGTAATACACTGACAATAAACTGAATAAAACAATTGAAAAAAAAAATAAAGTAAAAATTCTAGGGCTTGTCGTGGGAACTCGGAATTCCATGGACGACATGGCTGCTTACTACTCACAGCCCCAACCGTCGGGCTTTCTCACTCACCACCAGTATTATCAACCGCCACCTCCGCCGCCGCTAATGGCGGGGGTGG